CACTCTCAAATTTGTGCTCACACCTACAAATCCTGTTGACCTTTTAGAAGGAAAGCTTCACAACATACTATACTGAAGAAGAAATAAAGGCAAAGTGATTTTGAATCTAGAATTGTACAGAAACAGTTCTAAGTGGAACAAAAGATTCCCAATGTGTTTGAAAAGCAATAAGCAGCATATTAACACTGCAGTCTGGGGTCATTTTATTGAGCTATTTCAAGAGAAAACAGGTCAGACAAACCAGTATTGTTTGAAGAAGAGATCATGAGCTACATAAGTGTTCCAACCAGTTTTGAAACTGCATAGAACATTTCCAGTGTATAGAGCCCCAAAGGCAACATGATCCATTTTAAGAGGAAATTAAACAGTAATATTCAAACTGCTGCTTCTATTGGCACCAGCCACATATTCCCAAATGCAGCCCTGCTGGATCCACACCATTAATATAAAGAGACAAAAGATTCTAATGACAAAAATGACAAAATTAACAAACCTGTAAACGTTCATTGGAAAAGTTACCATAAAACAGATTAAGCATAGAGAAATAAAACAATACCTAAACACCAGAAAAATATATTTCATTTTTAAAAAGTAAATGTTACTTCTATAACATTTCTATGAAAATCAGAATTTATCTGTGGGAATGTGGGGCAGGGGGGAGATAAGGCAGGATATGATTTACAGCTCTTTACACTGAAATGTTCAATTAACAGATTAATAATGCCCTGTTGACAACAGAAAATTTTGAAGTATACAATTTTTGGACTTCCCCATGGTTTTAAAAAAACTGTTTTCACACTTTGTCTAATGTTTCTTAAATAACGTGTCTAGAACTGCAACACCTAAGAAACAATTATTAGAGTGGAGTCTGTACTGTTCACAGTCTGTTGTTCAACTTACTGTACTACACATCTCACAGCAGATTGTTTCAAAGCAGACTACTTTTAAAGCAGCTAATCAAATTTCAGAAAGCTGAAGTATTTTTATGGCCATGACATCACTTGAAGGATACAGAGAAAAAAAAAGAATGCAGAAAATCAAAACACACTTCAAATATTTACTTAGTGCATTAGGCCATAATTAAGGTCCACTACATGTTTGTCTTCATAGTTATGTGACTAAACCTTTCTAAATAAATTACATTGCCTTCCACTACGCCGAAACCCTTCCTTACCACTTTCATTTCTGCATAACACCAGGCATATTTCATATTAGTGAAGGAATCAGATGAGAAATATTCAGATTAAGCCATGAAAAAGGTTATGAAAGGTAGGCTTCAGAGGTTAAATAACATTCTGAAACAATATTCACTTAGCATGGCAAGTCTCCACATTTTAGCTGTGCACTGCTTGCATGATTAACATCTACTATATTGCTGGTAGTATACAAAACTACTTCCAAAAGCAGCTGGAGAAGCTCAGAGTTAAATGATCATACAACAACACTGCCATTATCACAAACATAAAATTTGAGCACAAGCAAAACTACAGAACAGTTACACCAGCCATTCAAAGAGGTTCACAAAAAAGAAGTCCAACCTGGAATTGCAACAGGTTTGTACTACAGTTCTATCAAACTCTGCATCATCTTGGCATCATTCTCCGTATTTACATCAAAAGTTTATCTCCTTTCACAAAATTCAGCTTGAAAAAACCTGCTTGGCTTTGTATATACAGAAATGTTTTTCAAATTTACATTTATGTTTCATATCATTTAAGTGAAAACATTCACATAAAGTCCAAAAGTTTGATTTACTAGGTATTTTGTCCTATAGATTTTTCAAAATACAAGGTGTATTGTACAACAGTTTCAACTCCTCAATGCAGATCTGCTGGGTTCATATACACAAACTCTAAATTTTGAAACTACAAGAAGCCAGGGAACCAATAAATGATTGCTCACTACAACACTTGACATATTCCTTTCACGCTTATTTGGGGTATGTAGTTATATGCATCACCCCTTTAGTCTGTAACATAACATGCTTTTTTTAACTAGCCTAAGTTACTGAAAATGGCTATCACATTTATTTAGGGATGAGGAGATGTAACGTTTAAGTAATATTAAGAGATAGCAAATACTGTCTTCAGTTCTATAGGTAGATATTGCCATTCTAAAAATAAAACTTCAGAATACACAAAAAAAACAGTTACCTCAATGTCTTCCTCAAAAAACAAACGAAAAAAAATTCAGAAGCTGCTCATAGATGCATCTAGCCCATCTACGGCTGGGCCACTGTAGAACATTTATTCTCATTTTAAAGAGTAAACTCAATGATTCATTCAGAAGATGCAAACATTGGAAAAACCTCATTTCTAAAACCAACACACTCTTCGAAGCCTACTTGTGAAACACCAGAATGCTTACTTCTGAATTCAAAGGCTCATCTGAAAAGTGAAATATAGAAATATCACTTTAGTAACAAAAAGCTGCTATACTATGAAGGTCATTTTCTCTTCCTAGTAGGGGACAGCAATGGTTCAAGGAGACAGGTTGCCTAGAGGGATAAAAATGCATTCCCTATCTTCCATTAACATTTTTGCAAGACCTGCACTCTTATCAGCAGCTCTTGATACTGGCTGACTCCAAGGCCTCAAAATAATTGACTGAAAGCTATGTTGAAAGAGTCGTGTTGTGTCAGCTCTGTGATAAACTGACCAAAGGGGGAAAGAGGGTTACACACAAGGCACAGACTGGGTTGAAACCTATGACTCACTAAGAAGCTATTCAGCACTTCCAGAACAATCCACATGAGAAGGGAAGAAAATGGATGTCTTTTGAAAGCTAGGATTATACTGCCTTACTGCACTATTGTCAATCGAGCCTTGTACGATAGCCAGCGATCTTCTTTCAAGTCTATTTGACCTGGAATTGTGGAGGATTTTTTTTTTTTGTAACCCTTAGCAACGATTCATAACGTTCTTAGCAATGACAAAAAGAAAAAAAAAAAAAAGAAAGCAAGTGTTCAGCAACCTAATGTGCAACCCTCTACACAAAACCTCTTCAGCTGCCCATGTGGCCACTGGCTCAGCAGTTAGGATCCAGGTAAAAAATAGGCTTTAGCAGCTCCCTGTATTTTCAACAGAAAGTTTATTACATTCACAGTCTTCTATCACTGAATGATTTCATTTTAAAATAGACTTTTTTTTCTTTGATCCAGCTCAGTACTCTGGGATTTTCCAGGCAGACATCTGACCTAGAAGATAAATGAGCCAAATAGGCTCACAGCAGGCAGAGTGCAAGCAACCACCTCCTACTGCCCATACCTTAGGATACACCTGGAAAAAGAAAACAGCTTTGGTTTACAGTCAAATGGCACAGGCTGCTTAACTAACACACTCTTATTTTGTTTTTCTTGTTTACAAGCCATAGTACTTATCCTCTTACTGAATTTCAATTTCTTAATTTTCTTAGTTCTGATTCCTAGAAGAGGGTTTTTAGCCTGGTCTCTGGAATATATCCTGAGTATTTAGGAGGAAAATCAACCCTGATCATGTCTTATTGTTACTGCTCATGTCATAGTATGCATCTTTTGACTGGTTTCAATAAAATAGCTTCAACAACTATTCTGCAGCTTGAAATTGATATAAATCCAATGCATTACTGCTGAGTTGCATATCTCAAGCTTAAAGTAAGGGTTTTACACTAAAGCAGCATAAGAACAATCAAGGCCAGAGCCTTAAATATACAAAAGCCTATGAGTGTCTTTCTATGTATCCAATTGGCAGATGGGTATCAACAGACACATTCACATATTTCCAACTCACACTTTACTATCACCAACAGAGCTTTAAGAGCTATAGGGCAGAACCAAACAAAGTTCTACTCATTCAACAAAATCACCATCTCCAATTATCATCAAAAATAACAGTTGATGGTAACAAGTTAAAAATAGCATTGAGTTCAATGACAAAACGTTTACAACTTGTCTCCCTAAACATTATCGAGGTGTGACTAAAATTCAGAATACAAACTCTCAGGGTATCTGAGGCAATTCACTGAAAAAGAAGAGTTCACGATCCAACACACACATTTAGTCATTGATTGACTAGTGCATTTGTGATGCACTCATTTTAGTAATTAGGGTGGGAAGTCCATTAGTACATTACCCATGAAATAACTATCTGTAAGCTTAATAGCTAATTGGAATTTAAAAAAAAAATATATATATATATTGTGGTTGGCATTGAAATTCAAGTGAGCATCAATATGAAAAATACTAGACATGTTACATAGTTGAGGTATATTTTATCTCATACAGTTTAGCATATAATACTTTTGGGTTACTTTTCTCTTTTAAACACATGCCTACTGAAAAAGCACAATTCAAACTCAAGAGATGCACTACCACTCAATAAAGCTATTATTGAAAGCCCAAAACTGTCTTTAAATATTTAGGGCAAGTTTTATAAAACACATTGAGATCACAAGATTCCTTTGTGTGTATTTAAATAGTCAGCCAGCATTCCAAACACTTTTATCAAAAAAGTGCTCAACAGTACTCGGTACAGATGTTCAGTATTCATTACGCATTGATATGTCTTTATGCGAGCTGTATTATAGATGAGAATTGGCACGAACAAGCAGAGTAAAGACAAAGCCAATAAACATTAACACTGTTTCCTGCGCTATGGGTGATTATACATCAATACCACGGTAGTGGTGTGATTCAGGAGGCAGAGGATAATGAGGATTTGCAGTGCTGCACAGCTGCATGCAGCACCGCTTTCTCAAAGCCCTGCCCCTCAGGCCCCTGCCTGTGATTGTGTCCTTCCTCTTTTGGGCCCAAGGAACAGAACAGTCTGGGGCTAAGGGATGCTTGCTGTCCACCTCTCTGGAAAAAGCCCTGAAGCAAACTACAGGTATTATACACATGGTCCCAGTGGTGAAGTTTGCTGTGTGAGGGGCCTGAAGACTGTGTTAGAATGGAAAATAGAGAAAAAAACCCCACAAGATTCCTTACAGCCTTACAGGGCTTCCTACAACAGCCTCAAGGTTACCTGTGTCCTGTGTTGAGCCCAACTTCCAGGGCCTCTTCACCCAGCAAGGATGGCAGCAGCTCAGCAGCATGCATTGTATTAGCAGTGTGGAATACTCTAACCCAAAAGACACCACTGTGGCCACACAATAACACCTCACATACACTGATAACAGCAACTGCACCTGGACACCAATCAACCATTTCTTTTGTTTCTGTGGTTGAATAATTAATATTCAACATTTGCATTTAGCTCTGAAGAGCAATGCAGAAAAATTAAGGTGCATTTAAGCCAGCCTATGATCTCTAAGAATATTAACTGTCAATTAAAAGTCCATTGGACAACTACCTCATATCCCCTTAAAAGCATGAATATTTTCCCAACACTTTCTGTTCATAACCAGGTTCTCACAGATTAGACTGTCTCTTTGCAGCATACTAGCAAAGAGAGCCCTGTCAAAGGACTCCATCCACTAGAAATCATTAAAAAATAAATTACAGAAACAATTAAAGGAGAGGTTACTATTGTAGAAAAAAAGGCTTAATAACAATAGCTGCCTTGCTTACTGAAGAAGGGTCCATGATTCTCAATTAAAGAAGTTTTAACTAGGGAAGAAAAGCTAGCCCTTAGTTGATAAAAGCAAAGAGGAACTAGAAGCACACCTAGAGAGACATCATCCTTAACTCACTGATAGAAGATACAGGACATGACAGACTACCTTTTCCAGTTAGACAACTGAGTCCACATGACTGTTAAACAAAGAGTTCTATCTTTAAGACTCAGGATGAAATTAAGATAGATATGATTAACTCCAAATCAGGCTTGGACAGCTATGTATCTGCTTTCCATATCGCAGTGAGCAGGTCATGGAAGAGCAAACAAAGCAAGCAATTTAAAATCTGTTGTACTCACATCAGACATAATAGGGAGTAACAAATTTCTCAAGGGCCTGTACAAAGCTTTACTAAGCTGAAATTTGAATTAAGGGCTCATATCATCATGCACATTTCTTCATCTTTCATTTGTACAGGATTAACATTCATTAAACACCTATACATATTCAAACCAGAGAAGAAAGTCTTTAAAATCAAAAGGGTCAAGTCATAGCCTCTAATTGAGCACACCCATGCAAGGGCTGTGTCCCTCACAATCCAAACAAACAGAAGATTCCTTGGAGTATTTTTCTTTGCATATATATATATACATATATAAAATAACAACCCATGATAAATTATTACTGTAACATTGTAACACAATGTATTTCATTTATAATTGACAAAAAAGAGAAGTTTTAGAAGTTGTTACTCTGGTTTAAAATAGTATAGGAATAAACAAGCAAAGATGATAATCTGAGAAAGAATGGGATAGAAAAACCCATAGAAGTCTGAAAGCAGTGGGAGGAAATACAAGCAAAGACCACAAAGTACAAAAAAGACTACTTTTGTCACAAGGAACAGAGTAAAGCCATTACTGCCAACGTGGACAAAAGGAGAGAGAAAGGGGGAGGTGGTCAAACTCAGACGTTTCCAGTGTGTATAAAATCAGGACTTATGTTTAGTCCAAGTCTGCTTCAAAGTGCTCAATTAAAAAAAAAAATAAAAAACAACAACAAAAAACCCCACACACACGCTTAATATGGATTTTAGTACAGATAAGCTAAGTCCAAAGAAGGCAGACTTATTTTTGTATGCAGGGAGAAAAAATAATACTCAGAACATTCATAGCAAAATTCTTTTCATTTTTAGATAATATTACTAGCCACCCAAAATTATTTTAAAAGCTCACCATAGCTTCATGTTTATTAGAAAATACTGCAAGCATAGATTGTGTAATACAGAGGCAGCAAAGAAAATTTTCTCTCTTTCAGCAAACTCACATGTTAAGCTAGCAGGTGTAAGAATTCTTTTCATTCTGATTTTTAATATATCTGAACATATCTTTTTTTAATCCAAAAACCAGTTAGAAGGAACAGGAATTCCCAAGGTGCAATAGGCAGGTGTTGTTGAGAGAATATTAAGTACAAGAAAATTTTTTTTCTATATTAAGAAATTGAAATTGCATTATTTCCTCATTTAGCACATCACCTTTGTTCTCAAAGTGCTGTCCCATTTGTCCTCACAGAATAAGAGATTAAGGCTGAGAGAGGATGTAGACCTGAAACAAGGATAAACAGTACTTGGAATCTATGCCTCTTGGCTCTTAAGAAAACAGTTTTTCTGCATGGTGAACTACTCATTCCCCTATAGCAAGTTTCTAGTACATCAGTATGATCTAGGGTAGTGTTTTTCTTCACATTTCCTTCCCAATGACCGTGGAGCTCCACTAAAGGTGAGCGCCAAGACACACTGGACACTTGTGATTTTTAATACCATTTCTGAGGAGACATCCTGGTCTAAGGTTGCAAGCACTGGAGCTGTGCCAACAAAAACTCATGCAGAAATGCTGGTAACAGCTGCAGAGCCCTCCATAGTCTCACCAGATGACCAGACCAGACTGGAGCTGAGAAGGAGAATCTACAATTCCTTACTACCCACAAAAACCAAGCCAGAAGGTTTCAACAGCCTCTTCTGCTGCTGTAGTGCCAGTTTGCAGCCTGGTCTTCCCAAAGGCTTTCTAGATGCCTCTGTACCAGGGAAGGCAGCTGTGGATGTGCAACATCCCCCTGGCCTATCCTCAGCCACTCCCTCCACCATCCATACTTAGCCTGAAACTTTCCTTCACAAGGGACTGCCACCTCATACTAACTGGTAGAGGAAGCAAATCATGTGCAGGCCTAGATTTTATCTACAATGATTAACCCTAGAGAAGCCCAAACTCCAAGTTAATGAAAGTGCATATACTTTACAGAGCTGCAAGTGAGAAGAGAGGCTGTAAGCATGCAATGTTGCCCTACGCTGGTCACGTGCAGTCTGACAAACACAAGCATTGAGAACGCTTTAATATAGACCATAAGTAGCAGAAGGCTGGTATGCCTGCATTAGAATTTAAATTGGCATCCCATCTATTTAAATGAGATTAAGTTTCAATTTAAACTGAATTACATGGTTTGAAATTAACCACGTTTCATGATCCTCAAATTATACCTTCACTTCTTCCCATCACCTTTAATACCTGGCTCAACTTGTAAATGACCAAAGGCAAACCAAGAGTAAGAAGTCCAGTAAGATCTTTCAGAGAAGCCTTGTTTTACTTAACATATGGGAGTCTACTCCACATTCAGATTGTAGAATCTGAATCACACAAATTTGGTGGAAGATTTTCCACATTACTTCAAATGACAAGATTGGTAGGTGGAATCCTTCCACTATCACTGTTACATAGATTTTTTTACTTCAAGCAAACTTACTGCGTAAGAGGAAGCTGTGTGATGGAAATGCTTTCTAAAGAGAGTTGTATAAGAGCTGTCTTAGGCCAGACAGAATGGATCAAAAACATGAAATGAAAAAACAATTACCTGAAAAGTATAAACAGGGCTGGCAGAGGAGAGCAGGTGTTTCACAATCTTCATCTTCACTGAACACTAGTCTCTCACTCAGCTTGTTCATCCTATTAAAATTATGCTCTATGCAAAAAAAAATGCTACACTGTATTGTAAAAGAAGGAGATGACCACACATCCACTTTTAGTGAATCATCATGCTAACCTGAAATTTGTGAGAGCACACATTCCCAAGCACATATTCACTCTGCTTCCATAATCCATATTGCAAACTGTAACTTCACCTGGATGGGCCCTTCTCCATAGTTTCTATATTGCTACTCCATGAACCTCGTCTCTGTTAGTCCATTTTTTTGGAACACTTTGCTTTCAAAAACACATGCAAAAGAAAAAGCGTGAAACAAAACTGGGATGGTGGATATGAGGCTGGCATGAAGACATTTGACTTCATCATTTCATAAAATTATGTGGCAAAATACATTCTCTTGGCCTATCATCAAGGACTGAGTTGAGCAGACAGTAATTCAGAATATATACGAGGGCATTCAAAGTGCATTAGACAAAGATCAAGGGATAAGAAGAAAGCTGGGAGTGCCATGACTTTGTCACAACAAAACAGACTCTTCTCTGGCAGTGTCCAAAGAGTTCTGTTAGATTAGGGGTTAGCCTGGATACCACTTGGAGCAGGAATATCTGGGCGCACACAGTTAAACTTGGAAGAAGCCCTTGCCCCGCAAGAAATTTCCCTCAGTCCTGAATTTGTTCTCCATTACCACAGGAAAAAGGAAGGATACAGAATCTCAGACAAGAGAAAAGTCTTCATCTGCTGCTATTGAATTGAAGAGTTCTATAACAGAGTTTCCAAGACAGAGTCCTCATAAACATCTCTGACACAATCATCTTCCTCTCATCTTCCCTCTTTCCAGCTACCTCCCAGCTGTGCTATTCAAAATTGAGGGCAGGCAGGAAACATAATTAAAATTATACCTGCTCCTGATAGCAGCACATGCAAATGTTTCGTTACCAGTTTGGAGAGAACCATGTAATTTTAAACTCAGTGTTTCTCAGAAATATTTTGATTAAATTCATATCACAGGGGGGAGGAAAAGAAAACGTGTCCAACCCCACACCCAATAACTCTTGCCACCTCCTTTTAAGATTCCTAGGCATTACACAAGAGCAATAAGACACTATGATTTTAGGTGACTCTAGAAACAGAATGGAATTTCCCAAATCCTACCATTCAGCAATATTTATTACAAAATGTATAATTTTCTTACCTTAATTTAAGGATTGGAATTCACATATGTTACCTGACTAGCAACATATCACATATGTTCTGAGATGCACACACACACACACAAGCTTTCAGTAACCAGAGACAAAAGGCCTGGCTAGACCCAAGGCTGTTTAACCCAACATTGCCCTACCCCATCTCCACACACAGTTTTCCTCAGTCATCATCATGCCTCCAAATAATACCCCTTGTCAAGAGCAATTCAAAAGCAAGCAGTCCAATTCCAGCCACTGAACCCTGTAAGAGAGAAGGGGAAAGGCTGACCCACTGCCACCCACCACTGGAAAGGTGAAGCTCTTGCTGCAAACCATTTTCCCCTCAGTTCCTGTCCACTTCCTTGGCCTCCCCTGTTTCCTTCCACTTCTCTAAAATTAAGCAAACATATTGACTCACAAATATCTCAGGAAACAGTGGTAACCAGATAATCAAGTAGACTGTTTCTCCCCCTGGGGAGGCAAAATCAGCCGACTAGTATTAATGATAAAGAAAACTGTTGATGGGGCACAGAGTAAACAAGCATACAGCAGCAAGCATGCAATCCCTTTTTCCATCATCAACTCAAATTTAAAACAAGGCTGAAGTGGCTGGGTGTTCCAGAGCTCACTGAAATCTGAGTCACTTAATCAAGTCCATCACTGCAGAGTGTTGTCAAATGGGGCACCAATTTGACAGTGGGCACATGACTGACACCAACCAGCATCAGTCCCTTATTATCTAAAATGCTCTCTGATTGACAGTGGGCTCAAAAGACTAATGCTGAAGATGGTAGCAAGCATCAGCAGGTTTATTAAAGCCTTCTGCCTTTTCTCTGTTGTAATCCCATGAGCAGTAACACAGACTTCCTCCTCTCACATCACAACCTGCTAACTCCAGCAACACCTCTCTCCCCTTAGCTCTATACCTTTTCTCTCACGTGCATAACACCTGCATGCCCTTTGACCCTTTTGTGGTTGGTCAATACACATCAGCATTCCACGTTTCTCCTTCAATGCTGCTCACCTGTCTTATACATCTGCACCCCATTTGGGATGAGGCTCTGCTGTAGCCCCATTCCCTATGTCCCATAATTTGTTCTTCTACAGCAGAGAACTAGTGAAAATGCAAATACTGCTTCCTCCTTATGGGAGCACATATGTTGGCTTAAGAGGTGGAGAAATCACTGTGAACCAATTCTAACTGGAAAGGTTTAGGGACTTACTTCCTAACTGGTTCTAAACAGCCCTCTGGAATTCTGCCAGGAAATACATACAGATGAACATTCAGCATGTTTGCTATTAATTCAATTCGAATTGTTATGAAATGTTGTCTAAAAGCAATTTTTTAAGAAGAAAAATCCTAAAGATTTAGGAACAGCTTTGTTTCTATATTCCTCACAGAGAGGGAGAGGGGGAGGAAGAATCACCAGTAGGGTAGTCTCACCTCTTATTTTAACAAACACTAATGTAAGTCAAGAAGACTGTACTGACGTGTTTAGACAATTTTAGGCCCTTCAAAACAGAAGATTTACTTTAAGAGAATTTTGAATGAAACAAAATGTGCTTGTTTGTTGAGCTGAATTAAATACCAGCTTGCACTGCTTTATTCCTTTCCACCTCCTTCACTGTCTTTCTTCTCTGTTAATAAGTGAAACCAACAGATGGAAAAGAACTTTTAAAAATAGTTTTTCTACGTACTCTGGAAAAGGGCAAAAGCGTTTGGTTTTGCAAGATAGGAGATGATATAAAAAGAATATGAAAAATGCAAAAAGCCTTCAAAATGTGAACATGTGCAATGTTGTGCTTTTAAGCCATTCTTACAGAAATCTGCCTCTGGCCAAAAATAGCAAGAACATCACTGTAAACTACTGCCATTCAAACCATGATTACTATACTCTACCCACCCATCAAGCTGCTCCAACACAAAATATTTGGAAAATGGGATGCATAATTCCAGAGACAAATCTTAAATAAATTTAATCTGCACAGATACTTTCACAGGTTTAAAGTG